ACAGGTTCTTATACGGTAGTGGTGCTATATAGCACCTTAACCACTCCAAAGAACCGCTGAAGAACCTTTTTTTTTAGAGTGTAGGACTTTGCTGAGGAACCCTTATGCTCAGAAACGGCCCTGGTTACAATATAAACACATGGAGTTATTTATATCTCATCTACAATAATGTACAGTATTTGAAAAATAATGTGTTTTTTGAACATTAAAGCATGTCAACATATTCTGTTACACCAAATAATGATCTTTAAAATAGCATCATATGACCCCTTTAAGATACAGAAAATCTGTTAAAGTCTAAACCGTGTCAAAATGACCCACAACAACATGGTTAACCCATTTGATGGAGGTGAGGCCTATTATGAATTTTAAGCTGATGGAACATATTTTTCAAGTTGCTGTACATAATCGTGATTTAGGAGTCTCTTTAGTTGCCCAAGATATTTATAGTGGCTAACTTATTATTATGGCATTTATTATATTGCTCAGTAGTCTGATATCCATGCATGTTTGTATATGCTAATGAATCTGCCATGTGTCCAAGCCGATCACAAAAGGAATGGAGAGAGTCAGAGCGCATTTATGAATCTGTTGAGGTAGGCTGTGTTCTGTACCTTTTTCCATCACAGACTGGGGTGAAATTAGATTCCACACCTGTTAAACTGGGCACTGAGGAGTGTAGAGACATTCAGTTGGTGTTTTCTGGCTGATGTGTAATGCAGTATGGTCAGGTACAAATGGTGTGCAGATGTCACTGACAGAATGCAGCATGTTCGGTGTATTGCAAAGGTAAATACACATTTAAAATGTTGGTTGCAAAGCTGTGGCTTCCTCTGTGAGGAAATCTTTGACAAGGTATGTTGTTGATGTGAGACATGAATAGCAAAGAGAGATTGATGCCAATTTTTCATTCATACCACTTTGGCTGCTGTAATTGTAAAACACAATATATTTTTCACAGTATCTTTAAACATTTAACATTCTTTTGTAAGAACACGTAACGAATAGATTTTGTAATTAGATTTTTGCATATTGATTTTCAGTGTGTCAGACAGTGAAGTAAAATGTTATCTGCTGCAGACCATAGGTCACAAAAATAGATTTTGTTTTAGAACGTCACTGCCACCTACTGGCAAATAATTGCATTGCCGACTCTTAGTGACATTACAATGAGACGCGGACGACCGTTCAGTGCTGCGTTTCCCAAAAGCATCGTAAGCTTAAATACATCGTAGACCCATGGAAACCAATGGAGCTACGATCAATTTAGGCTTACGATGCTTTTTTGGAACCGCAGCCCAGTTTTGTTCAGTGTATGAAGAAGCTGAAAAACCCATGTTAAAGGAATAGTTTACCCAAAAATGAAAATTTGCTGTAGCTACTCACCATCAGGCCATCCAAGATGCAGGGGCTAGATGAGTTTGTTTATTTATCAGAATAGATTTTAAGAATTTTAGCATTACATCACTTCCTCACCAATGGACTTCACGTCACAAGATTTTAATTGATGGACTGTGATGGAGTCGTGCGGGTTTATGTGATGTATTGTAATGTTTTAATCAGCTGTTTAGACTCATTCTGATGGCACCCATTCACTGCAGAGGATCCATGTGATGATGAAACAAATTCATCTTCGTTTTGGATGGTCTAAGGGCGAGTTAATTGATATTAGATATTAAGTTTGCAATAAAATCTGTATTCAAGGTGTAGTATTTTTTCTTCTGCTTTCATGTTCACACGTATAGATCTGGTTAGCACAGAGCATGGAACTTTCAGTCCCACCTTGACATGCAAGGACTGTCCTTGCACCCAGTCATTGCCTTAAAGGGATAGTTCACCCAAAAATTAAAATTTGATGTTTATCTGCTTACCCCCAGGCATCCAAGATGTAGGTGACTTTGTTTCTTCAGTAGAACACATATGATGATTTTTAACTTCAACCGTTGCAGGCTATCAGTCGTATAATGCATGGCAATGGTAACAAAATCTATGAGAGTAAAAAAAACATGCACAGACAAATCCAAATTAAATCCGCGCACGGCATCCGGTGCGTGAGGTGTGTACGCGCTCTGGCGTAGTTTACGTTAATGGGTGTGTTGATATCCATCAGAAGAGCAATCAACCATAACTTCAGGCGAGCAGGCTCAGAAGTTGGGAATACATGGAAAGTCACCACTCCCGAATGAGTTTGCGCGAGAGAACATAATCTTTTAGTTTTAAGTCGGTTTGAACAATCCGGATAAGCGCAAGTAAGTACCATTTTGATTAGCCGTCGTACCTACAATGACTGTGCACTGTGTAAACAATGAGTGACGTATACACGCGAGAGATCACTTCCGGCGCTTGCATAAACTACGCCAGAGCACGTGCACACCTCACACACCGGATGCCGTGCACGCGCCCAGACAGTTGGACATAGTGGTGTATTAGAGGTAAAATATGATATAAATACTGTTCGGTTTCTGGCACAAACCGATCGTTTCGTGTCTTAGGACATCAATGTGTCGTCACGAGCCGCAGGGTTTAATTTGGATTTGTCTGTGCATGTTTTTTTTACTCTCATAGATTTTGTTAACATTGCCATGCATTATACGACTGATAGATTGCAACGGTTGAAGTTAAAAATCATCATGTGTTCTACTGAAGAAATAAAGTCACCTACATCTTGGATGCCCTGGGGGTAAGCAGATAAACATCAAATTTTCATTTTTGGGTGAACTATCCCTTTAATATTTATAACAGTTAATAAATGCTAATTTATAAATATGTTGTTGAATTAATAATAACATAAAACCAGTTAATATTTGACATTAGGACATTTCTTTAGTTAAGTACCTGAAGGATGTGATCCCCCTGCTGATTCTTGATTCCTCTAAATATCATCCTCATCCTACTTCATGTTTTTCCTTGACATATTCACATTTTCCTGTTGAATGAGGCTATTAAGGCAATGCTTGTTGCTTCAATCACTGATTATTACATTTAAATAGTTGCTTACACTTTACAAATGAACCTTAAATGATTTATAGATTAATGGAAAGACTAACATTTTTGGTTAAAAATGCCATTGCTGTTGTCAGGCTTGTTCTCAGACTTGGGTGTTTCCTATAAGCATGCATTTCCATGTGCTGTAAAAATCAATGCATTTTAACTATGAATCGTTTCGAACTATGCAGTACATGCAAGAATAACAGGCTTTATAAAAGCCCACTTTCATGACCTCAAAATAAAGTACATATACACACACAACAAACAAAACAAATTAACAAGTACACAAGTGTCTTTATTTACGCAAGCAAGTTTGTTCCTACAGTTCGAAAAGAAAAAAGCCACTGTCAAGCTGTTGGCACATTTATGTACAAAACCAGTTAATTTTACTGCCTGCTACAAAGCATTCTCAGTGAAAGTACAAAAAACTAGTACAGTATGTGGATAAAGCTGAAAGCGATGTCAGGGTAATACTGGATACGCAACATCATAACAAGAATAGGTATAAGACATGGTTCAGAAAATTCATCACAAACTAGAAAGGACAAAACAAACACTACAACCTAATAAGATATTTAGCTTAATATTGTTAGCGTAGCAACTGTAATACTGCACATTTAGAAAAAAAAAAAATTAATTGACCAGCAAGACAGTCATAAGTGTAAAAATCTAAATAAAGGATTTTTTTTTTCCTTTTGAGTTAGTTAAAACTATTACCATTTGATGCATAACCATGCCACAAACAACAACTATATTTATGTTTTTTACCTAATACAAGTTTCTTTTGTGGTTTTAAAAAAAGCTGCATGACTAACAAGAGTACAGGGACTCAGCGCTGATTCCAAATGCACTTGCACCAAAAAACTCACAATGGTCCATAAGTGCACAAAAACTAGCTTGTTTTTTTTATTTTAGTTTTTGTGAGACACCGACAAAAGTACTTTACTGCAAAAGTAGGGCAACTGAAGTCGGCAAGACCGAGCCAAAACACTGAGTTTGGAGTAACACATGCTTGTACATCCCATATCGTTCTTGTTTTTAGTCGAAACGTGTTCGAATGTCATGTAAACCTTCCACAGTGTTTGGCAGAGTCATTGCAATCAACTTTTCCACTTAGATTTATACTTCTCCGATATGTACGACGATCTCAAGAATATCACCTAACACTGACTGCCGAGATGTGTTTTAGAAACTGACATGAAATGTGTATACATTTAAAGAGAGATATATATATATACAGTTCAGAGGAATGACAGAAAAACCTGTTTTTGTTTGAATACTTGCATTTAAAAAGTTAAAGCTAAAACTAAGCAATAAAACACCTGAAAATGTTATTTGCATGTGAGAGTATGGCTTCCAATGGATGAGAGAAAACAAATATCCGTAGAGTCTCCCAAGGCAAATCCGACTTGACCGCTCTAGCTGATTTGAGACGTTCTTTCTCGGTCCTTCTTTCCCAATCAGCAGCCATCTCTGTCAAAGCTCAATAAACATTACTGAGCACCAGTGTCACACCTTCCATTAATACTGCGCACAGCTAGCATATACAGTTAGGCCAAGCTACAGTATAGCAGTAAAAGTCACTTTAAGGTACTTTTTGAAATCCCTGGCACTCCAAAACTGAATTTGTTGGAAAAAGAATCTGTACATTGTGTGTGCTGTTGCTGCTGTAAGTGCGGCAGCTTGAGCGATTAACCTGTAAATCATAACTTACAAGTTTGGTCACATTTTGGTCTTTAAAAAGTCTAAAGAAAATCGAAATCATGACTAGCCGTTTATAGGGTGAACGCAAATCATTGGCGTGTAATACAAAAATGTGAAAAGTGTTCTGTAATCCCTTTGGCTAAACCCAAACCCCCTAAAAAGACCCAATGAGACCTAAAAGTATGTGGTACAAAAGAGAAGTCACTCAACTTAGTGTGTTTATCAGGTTGTGCTCTCAGACATGTCAATGGAAAAGGGAGGTAGAGGAGAAATGAAATCGGAACAAGGACAAAGAAACAAGACCTAAATCCTGGGTAGTCGGAGATGTTGCAATGGAGATGATAAGAACGTCCCTAGACCAACATTCTGGGTCACACCCGTACATAGCAAGTATTACAGTTATTTACCTCCCCATCCCATCTGATCCCAAACCCCTGGAAATCATGGAAATTAGACGTAGTTAAGTTTAGTTTATATATGTGTCTTCAGGGAGGGGAAGGGCATGCTTGTGTGTGTTCGTGTGTGTGTATACATATTTATATGTGTGCGCATGAGCGCGTGCTTTATGTGTATGCGTTCAGACGCTCTTTAGAGCGAGTAGAGTGGATATCATGAAGCTCCTGCTCCTCCTTGGACTTGATGTCCTCGTATTTCTGCATCCGGCAGGCGTCCTTCACGTAAGCCCAGTTAGCCGACAGCACCATCAGGTAGTGCACCTACAGCAACACAGGGGTTAGAGAGGAGGGTTACTGTTAGTGCTGATGACCCATCTGTACCCAAAAAGGGTATTACTTTGGAGACTTCACGGGGGTTTAGTGGCCCAGTTTAGACTGGAGATAAACTAGATCAGTTATTTCCCCCATCGGATGACATGGTAACCAGTTTCAGCTGAATATAAGCCGGGTTAGTTAGTTAATTTACACAGGTTATCGCTTGTAACTGCTGGGTTAACTTGGGGAGGTGGGGGAAGGACAGGGACTGAAACGATATTGCAAAACGGAAGAGCCTGGGTGTCATTTTAATCAAGCCAATTAAGGGACGTCATTATGAAAGTCGCTGACGTGGGTGATGGTGGTGGGGCCCTTGGTGGACAGAGAGTGTGTCGGGATGTGGGGAGGGACACCCCAGACCGGAGTTGTCTTCAGAAACGCGTGCAGTACCTCCCCGTGCTCTTAGACGTCAGAATGACGTGGTTACGGATGAGGACAGACACTGCCACCACCTATCACAGTAGCCAGATCATTGAAAAAGAGAAAGGAAGAAGGTTACTTGCTGCCTTCCTAACTCCTGTTCACCCTCAAACCTGTATGATTTTCTTGCTTCTGTGGAAAAGAGAATGAGATGTTTTATTTATGCTGAAAGTGCAGTGAAAGTAAATGCTGAGCGGGCTGTCAAGCTCCAAAAAAGCCATATGATACCTTTTTATTTACTGATAATCTTGTCCTTGCCCAAAGCACTAAATGTTATTCATGTTCTTGTATATTTGAATATGTGCATCAAAAGAAACCAGACTAGGTTTGACATCAATGCGTCATTGGTTCTTGTGTGTATCATAACCAACTGTGATGCGCCAAATGTATTCCATATTACTCCATATTCATGTGCATTTTTAAAGAATACAAATTAGAACCATGACTGAAGGGAAAGACTTACGATGCCTTTTAGGGTGCATTTTTGGTCACCATTTACTTTCAATGTATGAAACGTCTGTGAAACGTTCAATGTTTGGAACAACAGAATAAATAACTGGTGCCAAAAGTTTCATTTCTGGATGAACTATTCCTTTAAATTTGGATGGTTCTGAAGATTATGGTATGACTAATACACTTCCATGACAAAAATGGCTCCTGCAGTTCCATTGCAATGCCACAGTCGCTTCTTCTTTGCTGAAGTTCCTCTGTGCACCAATGAGTGGCGTTGTTGCTGCACAAATCAGCAAACTGCAATTATGCAGCAATGTTTCCTGAAAGGTATGAGGTAATTATATAATCAAAAGAGCACAAATTATGATCCAATTCTGTAGACTCTTTGTTTCTAAGTACTTAATGTCCAAGCTGTTTCCTCATTTGCAAACCATTGTGGAATGCAATTAACTCACATAAATGATGCCAGACTGTTGCCTTTGCAGAAAACAAATGCATTGTGCTTTTCACACACACTGCAAGGAAGCTTAAGCCGAAGACAAAAGCACAATGCAGTGCAAAAACACTTACAGTGTATTGACTGCATCAAATTAATTTTATACTATTCTATTTATCTTCTACATAAGCTCTAATATTAACCAATGAAAGACAGCTTTCCAAGGTTCAAACCAAAGGGTAGAAAAGCTGCCTCACAGAAAATGGTGTCTCACAATCACTTATCGCCGTTCCAAACAAGCTTTCTCCTTCCTTCCCTCTCCTCTTCTGTTTCCATGGCAACAACACCTCCTGCATTTTCAATGATGAGTGTTCCTCTCCCTCTCTCTGTCTCTCTTTGCTCACTCACTATTTTACAAGAGGCCTTGGATGTCTATTGCATTTCAGACAAGCCTTTAGACTGTAATTCTGAACAAGTCCTTGATTTCTATAACATACTTGCTGTGCTTAGATTTCATATTACCTCTCTTGCAGGTGTCACTGCATTCATAGGATTAATGAAACTCATAAATCAATCCATATTTCATTTATTGCCCTGAAAGGAAATTTAGATTCAGGGAAAATTCATACAATGCAGAAACAGAGCAATAAAGAAAGAAAGATAGAAAGTAAGAGACAGCAATGAAAAAGCTCACCATGGCAATAACGGCTGCTCCAGCCCCCGCAAGTGCACAGACAAACAAGTGGAATGTCAGATCCAGCTGGAGAAAGAGACAAAAAAAGACTCTGAAGAGGAGAAACCTGGATGGTTTTCACTGAAAAATCATCAAGTGCAGATAAACCCAGGGCCAGATTTACTAAACAAATAAATAATGGTGCAAATACTGGTAAACCGACTACCAGAAATCTTAGTAAATCACAATGCATGATTAAATGCTCTCAATAAATGTTGTGCCTAAAAGGAAAACTCCTACAAATGCATATGCAATAAGGTCAACCTCAAAAATAACCCACAACGTTTCACTCTTACAGAAAAAACACATGAACTTCACATGCTCAATCACGTTAAAATCACATGTGAAATATGTGAAACTCATGTGAAACATAAAATGCACATGACATGTGGTTTTGGAAAGTGTTAATATGTAAATGTCTGAAACCCATGTGAACAATATATATAAATGCATCATTCATTCATTCATTCAACAAATGTGGACACGTGTGGACAATATGTGATCACATGGGTTTCAAACATTTACACCATTAAAATGTTCCAAAATGTGTTTCATATGTGTTTCACATATTTCATATGTGATTTTAACATGTGATTGAGCATGTGAAGTTCATGTGGTTTTTCTGTAAGGGCATCGCTAATTTTTCACTGCGTGTCTTTAGTAAATCATGCTTGTGCAAGCTGTAAATCTGGCCCTAGATCTTCAAAATCATCTTAAATAATAAATTCTAGGCTACTGTGCCATCTTTACTATAATAATAATAATATTGTGAAAGCATAACATCCACTGGCATATGGGTTGTGGTACTGTCCATACAACGAGCTGCACAATCTTGCAAATAAATATTAAATTTGAAGTATTACATATTTATATGAAGGAATCCCCGCTGCACTGCGTGACTTCAGACTTAAAAGCATGGAAAGGTTCACAATTTATTCATATTCTCTCTCTCACTCCCAACAATTATTTTATGCCATAGGTCACTGTCTGTAATGGCGGACTGAATTTAGATGAAGGCCATCAGTCAGCATAAAATAGGCCCTGCTTCAGAACTGCCAACTGACCTCATTAGATTCACACAACTTGATGAAGTTCTCAGAAGCGGTGCACAGTCTTTTCTCCTCACCAATGGACACAATTCCTGCAGTTCAAATAAAGGAAGATGTTAATGGCAGATTCATTAATAATGCAATGATAGTACATGCTTAGGTCATTTTATTGCATAATAGTTCTCATTATGGCAAAAAGGTGTACAACAATGAATAGTGGTGATTTAACTATGTAACTGTATTTTATGTTGCAACACTGTTTTAAAAATTGCCTTATATTTTAATGTCATAATGGTGCTTCCAGCAGTAATGATACACCATGGTGTTTTGTAATATGTAACAAGAGTGTTTAATGATATCCTAATAGTGTTTATATATGCATTCTGTCATTTAGCTGTTGCAAAAAACAAAAAAACAAAAACAGTTTTATAATAAATTAGTTATTTTTCAATATCCTCTGCTTATGGATGTCTAATACATGCAGCCTGTTACATTCAGTAATTTCTGCACTAAAACATCCAATAAACTGCAATATAAAACAACATCTAAGTTCTTTTAAATAATCTCAGCCAGCCCTACAGCCAACTAGACTTGGCATTCACTGCTAACTTATTCACTTATTTAGTAATTCAGATGCACTTTAATCAGACTAGAAAATCCTAGGCAGCATTCCTATCCATGGATCCATATTTTATTTTGCTGGCTAAGTATTTTGTTTACACCAGTATGCATAGAACATGAGAAATGACTGAAAACATGTCTCCTTAGATGAGCTACGCACCAAACTGACGCAGGTCGAAGCAAAGGTTGGAACTTTCCACTAGTGTGGCGTTCTGACAGGTGTTCCAGATGTTGAAATACATGAAGACTGGCAGGGAGCTGAAGGCTGTAACTCCTAGCCAAGCCAGCATGAAGATATAAGTAAGCATGATGAACTGAGGAAGAGAGAAAGAGATATGTGTGTGTTTCTTGATAACATTCAAGTATTCCCATATTATATAGTATTCCCATGGAATTTACTAAATATAAGTATAAATATGCCAAATTTATACTGCAAATGTGGCATAGAAGTGCTTATGAAGTGTCTTTACACAGATTAAATAATGCTGATAAGAGGTGGCATAAATGCGTACACAGTAATTAGAGCTATATACTGTACTGTGATACTAGGGCTAAGGTGGGTCAGAGCAGGCATAATTTAGTCTGGCTTTAATGCTGCATTTTGTCTTCACACTGAATTCTGAGCTGGCACAGATCAGTCTACACTTAGCTATGTAAACTCCATAACTTTAGTAGCTCATAAATTTAGGAATGCATGATACAGCGGTGACCTTATCAGCCATTTGAAGCGTTTTCTGATACTGGAATTAGATCATATCACACAGCTTTTTTTTCTAATTCAATAAAAATCCTTATTTTCTACTCATACAATGTTTTGATGCCTCATTTAAAGAGATAGTTCACCCAAAAATGAAAATTCTGTCATTAATTACGCACCCTCATGTCGTTCCAAACCCGTAAGAACACAAATTAAGATATTTTTGATGAAATCTGAGAGCTTTCTGACCCTGCATAGACAGTAACGCAACTGACAATTTCAAGGTCCAGAAAGGTAGTAAGGACATCGATAAAATAGTCCATGTGACATCAGTGGTTCAGTCTTAAATTTTATGAAGCTCCTGCATCAGCAACACCACAAGTATGCATCTTGTGAACATGCGTCAAAGACTGACACAGAAGAGAAGGCTTTGTTTAATAAAGTAGTAATTTTTGTTTGATGTCACATGAACTGCTGTCTATGCAGGGTCAGAAAGCTCTCAGATTTCATCAAAAATATCTTAATTTGTGTTCCTAATCTTTACTTTTCTTCTTTCTTTGCCACTTTTGGTCAATCAGACGCTGGTAAAACTCCTTCAGCCACGTCCAGTCACCAGTCTACAGGGCATTTGCAATGTTAGGTTAATCTTATGATGGCATAAACACTCACTTCATACATAAAATACATCCTACATCATTTGAACAGCAGAAATAAATGTTTTCCTGCTATATAATTCAGTATTTGGTTTCCAGGTTTGAGGAATAGACACTAGAAGGCTAAATGGAGATGCATTTAGAGGCTCCATAACAAAATACAATACAGCTAAGAGAAATAAAGTGACTATTTCCTGTTACCTGTGATGACCTCATGAATAGTTCCTGAATGTCCAATTCATCTAGCAGTAGCGTGCTGCCCACTCTGTGAACAGCCATGCTGACATGAGACTTACTGTAGGGGATTTTCAACAACTTCTTGATATTCTGTTTAAATCAAGAAAAAAAGACATAAATAAACCATTCAAAATTTAAGGTCTCTTAGCAAGGCTGCATTTATTTGATCAAAAATACAGTAAGAAATGTAATATTGTAAAATATTATTGCAACTTAATATATCGGTTTTCTATTTGAATATAATTTAAAATGTAATTTATTCCCGTGATGCAAAGCTGAATTTTCAGCATCATTCCTCCAGTCTTCAGTGTCACATGATCCTTCAGAAATCATTCTAATATGATGGTTTGCTGCGCAAGAAACATCTCTTATTATTATCAATGTTGAAAACAACTCTGCTTCATATTTTTGTGGAAAGTGATCCATTTTTGGGGATTCTTTGATAAATACAAAGTTTTAAAAAAATCTTTTGTAACTTTATTCATGTCTTTACTGTCACTTTTGAACAATTTAATACATCCTTGCTGAATAAAAGCATTAATAATTTCACAAAAAACTGTTTATCTGCATAATGTTCAATTATATTCTCTAATATCATTATACAAAAATATGACAGCAGAGCGCTGTGATCAACCAATCAGAATCAAATATTCAAGAAAGCCATTTTAATTTAATCATTTATTGTGTCATATAAAGAAGACGTTGTATTCTCAATACAACAGACTCACCTCTGAATCAGACACAACATCAACATCATCACCTATACAGTCAATGAAGTCGTACGCCATCCCAAAACTGCAGTTAACAAAGAAAACACAAGAATGCACGGAAAGATGAGCTTCACGGCCATCTAAATATATATATACACATTTACATTAAAGGGATAGTTCACCCAAAAATGAAAAGTCTGTTATTAATTACTCACCCTCGTGTCGTTCCAAACCCGTAAGAACACAAATTAAGATATTTTTGATGAAATCTGAGAGCTTTCTGACCCTGCATAGACAGTAACGCAACTGACAATTTCAAGGTCCAGAAAGGTAGTAAGGACATCGATAAAATAGTCCATGTGACATCAGTGGTTCAGTCTTAAATTTTATGAAGCTCCTGCATCAGCAACACCACAAGTATGCATCTTGTGAACATGCGTCAAAGACTGACACAGAAGAGAAGGCTTTGTTTAATAAAGTAGTAATTTTTGTTTGATGTCACATGAACTGCTGTCTATGCAGGGTCAGAAAGCTCTCAGATTTCATCAAAAATATCTTAATTTGTGTTCCTAAGATGAACGGAGTTACGGGTTTGGAACGACATGATCTAATTAATGACAGAATTTTCATTTTTGGGTAAACTATCCCTTTAACTTGAAGTATGCGATTTCTTTCAGTGCAAACTATTTTTTTAAACAAGCCAAACTTAAAAAAAAATAAAAATAAAATCATGCATAAGTAAATATAATATTATATTATATTCTGTGATGGACCTAATTTCAAGATCATTGATCACTGCTTGTGCATTAGTTCTTTCAGATGGGTGGTTGATCTTACCCAAGCACTGACACAGCGCCCACAGGTGGTGATCTTAAAGTCCCCATAGAGATCCCGAATGGCCCCAGTGGTGAAAAATCCCTCCACCATCAGCAGAATACCATAGACGAAGAAGGCTGCTGCCACTCCATAGATCACATACTTAAAGATGTCAATCCTGAGGAAGCAAAACAAGAATAATTAGTAATTTCCATATGAAAAGAGTGTCTGTGCTTATCTTGCACACAATGGTAATTCAATAAGATAACGTTCCCTTGAAAGTATACTGTTGTCAAAGTTTTTTGTGAAGCCCTAATCCACTTAATTTTGTGTGTAGATTAAATTCAATTATACAGTCTCATTTTATAATTTCAAAGCATTTGGTAAAATAAGATAAAATGGCTGAAAAAAAATGCTGCTTCACTTCCACTATTCCTTCCTCCACCCACTCATTTCTTTCGTTCTCTCCTCCATCCTGCTCTACTTCCCACCAGTAGAGTTCCGGTGAGCAGGTGTGCTTGGCTGATCTGGTGCAATTTCAGAACACTTCATTCTCTAAATGGAACTGATGCCAAAACCTAACATGGTAGATATTGTGTTTCTGTGTGTGTCACTGTTCTTTAGAAATATGTGTGTGGGAAAATGTATTTCCAAATAACACCTGTCGCAGAAACTCCCCTCAGTCTCCACTTCCTATGAGGCTGAATATGTAAACACAATGTTCAATGAATTCAATTTTTAATTCATTATAATAATCATAAAGTGCATTTCTTTACTCATTCTAGATATATCAAATAGGAATGACTCTGTATTGTCCCTATTAACAAATCCTTGTTTCGTGCTGAAAATCCTTCACCTAATTTCATGTTACTGTTCAAAAATGACCAGCCTTCTAAAAATTGCTTGTAAATCTCTCATTATGCTCATTATCACCTTTGAAACACAGGTGCATAAGCTCAGATCAATGAGACCTACAATACAATGAATTACTTACTTCCAAAAGAAATACAAAACGTGCTAATTGAAAGAAAATAAATGTTTATCAACAGAAAAAGCTGATAAAACGATTGAATCCAACATTTGGTAATAATATAGCATTACAAGAAATTTATAAGCAATTTTTGTATGTCAGGTAGCATTGTGTTTCAGTTTGCATTACATTATTAAGAACTGGTGACAGAAACTGAATTAGATTCATGTACTGTACTTTTGAAGTAGGTCGCTATTAAAACGAGGCATAAATTGGGCTCAACACAGAGCACAGCCTGACTGTGTGTTCTTTTTTATTATGACTTTGGTATTGTGACACTCACATGGTAAAGACATCCAGGGCATCAACAGGTGACCGGACAACATCAAAATAGGTCTGCAGGATGGTGACGGTTCCAGAGAGAGCCTCATGACCACAGCCACAGAAGAGCGCCACCCCGGCGTACAGCAGGATGGTTGCGATCAGAGAGGCATAGGGAATCCCACTCAGGCATTTGAGGCAGCATTCAGAGCACCCTGGGAACAAGAGTAATAATCAGTCCATAACTGCTATAAGAGCAAGTGTGTATACCAACCAACAGCATTGCTTTGCTCTTCATATTTGCCAATGATGTTGATAAATGCAGGTGAAGAACTTCCAAAGAAATTCAAATCAAGTAGAATCAAAGGAATGTGTTAAAAATGTACTCAATTTTTAACTTAAAGTATATTGTTGAGTAAAGGTATTTAAAAGTAAAAATATATACAGTATTTAGAAATGAGGTTATTCAACAATTATTCAGTCACTTTACACTCCTGTTGATAAAGCCATTTCCTGCAATTTACTGCAAAAGCATAATTCTTTTAGGGTTATAAACAGCAAAGACTACATCAATTCAAAGCTGAATGGTTTATGTACAACAGATGAAAATTCTGAATTCGAGTCCATTACCTAACTCAGAGCGGTAACAGTTTTACTGGATGAAAGTGCAAAGCAAATTCTATTTGCACAGTCCAAGAGAACATTCATTCCCACACATGTCACAGGAGAGGAAGTTTACTGTGACTCGAACCAATCATAACTGCCACAGCTGAGAGATTCATGGACACAATTCAACAGCACACAAACAATATTGATTGCAAAATTGCAAGTAGAGAATGGCAACAGTGGCGGCTATTCTGCAGCACGGCACAGCAATGATTTATGGGCTATCATAAAGCCCACCAGTACAGGAAAACATAAAGAGCAGGTCTTCAGAGGATATTCACTAGTATGTATAACTTAGAAGAAAAATAAGAGTCCTTATTGTGGAACTCAGTAAGTCAGGCTGTAAATGTTCACAGCACAACCTCTTAAGCCCTGCAGCAAAGACTTAATACGGACGATACAGCTGAAGCTGAACACTCACGGTTCTTGAGCTTACATCCCATCTTCCCACTGAGCTGAGTTGCTATTGGTGCAATGGCATTGTATCTGCTTTCTCCTCACTCCTTGTAGCTGCGCCCCAGAACCTGCTGTTTACAGGAGTGTGGATAATGTGTATTTTGCAGCCCTGCCCAGCTGTTACAGGGGAAACAGACTTACACCTCCATTACACCTTGAGAATAGCCTGCAGCTCTGAACACAGTATAAATGCTCTGGAGAGCAGGCAAGCGTTACTGCATCAAAATACGCATTATGTAAGCCTGACTGATTTTTAGTAATGCACTGATTAAAAAATTATAACTATATTTATTTATTAAACACACGGTGCATTAGTACTGGCATTTCAGTCAGTGCTCAAACATTACATATGCGTTGACTCTTCTCGTATAGTTTTGTTTTCAGTTCAAACATGAATTAATTAGGTAAAACTGAATTAAAATACAAATTTTAATGTCAGAAATTTTAAGAACACTATAAAGTCTGCAGTCTGAGCATGGGTCAGTAAGATTTAATTCATTTATTTATTGAAAGAAATTAATACTTATTCAGGAAGAATTCTTTAAACAATGAAAAGTGGCATTAAATATTAATAATCTTACAAAAGATTTCTATGTCAAATACATGCTGTCTTTTGAACTTTCTATTCATCAAAAGCTGCTTGATACTGGACAGCCGAAACACTCACTCTCTCTCTCTCTCGCTCTCTCTCTCTCTCTCACACAAACACACACACACACACACACTCTCTCTCTATAACAGTAATTCGAAATTGTAATAATTCATAATAATTCACAGCCTTGGTGAGAATAAGACTTCTTTCAAAATCACTTAAAAACTCTTGAATGGTATTGTACCTGTAATTTAATAGATTTTGTCCAGGAAAACATTTGTTGTGGCCCTTTAGTACAAGTTGTGAATTATTTGGTCACTCTTTTGGTATTGTATAAACCAGGAAAAACAAAGCATCTCTCTAAAAGATTTCTGGATATATATGATACTGTAGTCATATTTATGCAATCCACACAAATACTGATTCAGTTTGTCCCTTGTGCATCTTATAGTAATTTACACAAAACCGTTAGCATCACTATTGGCGCTTTTCCACGCGTGGTACGACTCGGCTCGGCACGGATCAGTACGGTACGACACGGCACGGCACGGCTCGGCTCGGTTTGCGTTTCCACTGCAGTTCAGTACCGCTTTAGAGTGGGCGGGATCGGCCAATCCGTGATCAGCAGAGTTTACACGTCATGTTTTGGTAACGGTATAGTTCACTTGGAACCTCGTCCGAGGTGGTACTAAAAAAAGTACCAGGTACCAGGTACTGTACCCAGTGGAAAACCCCCCAAAAGTGAACCGTACCGAGCCGTACCGTGCCGTACCATGCAGTGGAAAAGCGCCATAATACAGCGTTTTTTTTCAGTGTAGAGTCAGCAGAAAAGTCTGTCATTAAGGTCTTCAGAGTTTTCGCTATTTCTTGGATCCCTATTTCCAAGAGTGAATGCACCTAATTTCAGGCAGATTGACTGTGATATTTGGGAGTGGAGAGGAGTGACACGTCACTTATTTATCATGCCAATAAACAGCACCAAACTGCCATCCCTGTGGTGTGCTTAAGATGCAGTCAGTCTTGGGAGTGCTGAAACAGATTAATGAGGAAGCCAAAGTCTGTTCTTTGATCTCAGTGGGAAGAGACATGAGATCAATACTCAGACTGTCAGTGGAAAACACAAGCCTAAACCTGGCTCGTCAAGTGCATCCCTCTCATGCCATATGTACCGTCAGGAAATCTATAACATTGGCATAGGTAGGAATTATTGCTGTATGTACGCTTGATTCAAACTCTTTTAGAAACAATAGTTAAAAAAAAGGCTAAAATCATCCTTCTGGCCTTGGATCACAAACAGTTTGACAGTTCATAGTCAAAAATGACTTGAGTCAATAATGCCTCAGTGTGGGTATCTGGTTCTTTCACCGTTATTTCACATTCAAAAACAGTGTAGATTTTTAAATTTTTCTATCATTATAGATGCCCTCAAGAGGGAAGTCTGCACAGCTATTGTCTGCAATTGAAAGTGCATTCAGTTATAAGAATGAAACGGTGTGTTTGGGGTAAATCAGATATTGCTCAAAGTCCTCAGATACAATACTGATTTTCATTATACGTATATACAGCAAAAGGAAAATAATAGGGAGCAGTGGGTGAATGAACCTATAGGTTTGTTGTGTGGGTTATGAAATAATAGATCAGAAAACAGGGTTGCAACAATAGTAAACTTGTTGGAAAAATAAGCCTGCATTACTTTTACTACTTTTTCTTACGAGTAAAATCATCTATGATCTTGATAAATTCAGTAAAAAAAGGACAATATTGTCATTATGTAACACCACTGACAGAAAAAAATAACATCACAAATAATAAATGAAGCGCTTAGAATTAGTAGAATTAGCAGGCACTTTCACAGGAACACTAATGGAGGAAGATTGACTATATTAAGGTTGAGAGAGGTGGTGAGCAATTTATAGTAGGCTTGAAGAAGCTTGTCTCTCTCACAGATGAATTGCTTCCTGCTTGGTAGTATATCAGCAAATGCTACTATCTGCCTGCTTGTCCACCTTGTCCAGGAGATCAGAATCAGAAACCATTAAAATATCTCCTTTTTTTCCTTAGCCTTTCTTATGTTTAGTCCAACAGTTATTATAGTTATTCAATTTATAATAATAATAATAATATAAAATATTGCATCATGTTTTCTCATAATAATATATATTTAATAAAAAAAAAAATCATGTTTGTACAACAACAACAAAATCATTTGTGTGTTTTCAGTTGGTTTAAAATTTGATCTCAGTCTGGTTTAATATTTAAAATGGGGTAATATAATTATACTATAAATGAAACGTAATAGCCAAACATTTAATTTGAAAATACAAACAGATTAAATTCCTTTCAAATGGAATGAAACGGAAGAGCAGGCCAAACCTCAAAAGCACATTAGAAAGGCAATCGAAGCTGATGATGAAAAATTACGTAACCCAAAAATAAACACCACACTTCCATTCCAGATGACCTGTTGTTTCATCCTCGTGCAGCACTGCTGGAGTAATGTAGGTTTACAACTGGAACACCTGTCTCATTTCCTCTCTGTCCAATGTCTTTAATCTACTGTCAGAGGAGAGAATGTGCCACATCTACAGTGGGTACGGAAAGTATTCAGACCCCCTTAAATTTTTCACTCTTTGTTATATTGCAGCCATTATAACAACGGGGCGGATGTGAACGATTATTGAGAGTCACTTCTTTCTACATTTTTATGGTCACATTGGATTTGGGAAAGCATCTTGTACCTCCGGCCAATGTTCCAAATGGATAGAAACAATCTTGGAATGCTTATATTTCATATGTGGGAGTTGAAATTAAACACACCAAAGACTTCTAAGAAGAAATTGGATATTTGCCCTATTGTTATTCACTGGAAAACAAGACTGTCTTATAATAACAATCCTTATCCTACAAAATACAAACAAATTACAATATTTTTACATATAACATAATGGAGAAGCAGCCGAAACCTCAAAAGCACACAAAAAGACCATCAATACTGATGAAGAAAAATGATGCAATGATAAAATACATTACATCTACATTCAATTTTGTCACCTTTTAGAACTACGCTATAGCCAACACTGTAAAAAAGAAAATCATATAGTCTTATAAACTATATAAATAGTTTTTCTATTACTTTATCTCATCAGATTATTTATCCAATTTCAACTTCATTTAAGTTATACAAGCAGTTATAAAGAACTTGGTTCTTTAAGTAAGTTTATAAATACTTAAAAAAATACTTGTACAGACAATACATTTATTACTTAAAAAAAACAAAAAAACACAATCAAGGCAGCAACTGAACTAAAGTTTTTAAGTTAAAGTAAGTTTTTTAAAGTTTTGAAAAACTTTTATGAAATACCCCAGTATCACCTGAAATATGCTGCTTGTATTAGCCCTTTGATGCACAACACGGGTCTAAAGTGACCCGACTGAGTTTACTTTTTCTATATCTTTGCAAGAAATTAATTTCATCATTCAGAATTCCAGGAAATTCCTCAA